GGGAGAGGCGCGACATCTTGCAAGCTACCTATATTATTAGTGGGGGGGGGGAGATGGCTGAAGTGGTTAGAGCGCCAATTTACTGGTCGGAAGGTTCGTGGTTCGAAACCGGCCTCTGCCTCTCGACTTCCTCTGTCTAGGCTGGGGCAACCTAGCGCTTCCTTCGGATGGCATGGCAGCTAGACAGCGAAAGGGTGTTACAGCTGAACCATTATTATTTATTTTTATTAGATTATTGGTGGGAAATCTAAAACGCGTACGAAGAAATCGATCAAATACATTAGGGATTCACATAATTTGCTAAAAATGTGACGGAGTTTTCGTTGGAGTTTGAAACAGTTCTGGTTAGATTGGATGTTAAGTTGACGTATACCAAATTCCCTAGAGTGGACCTTTTGGCAGCATCCGAATGGCTGTTACGGAGAGATATACCAATATAAGAACAGATTGAGCTGCCCCTAGGTGATATAGCTGAAGGCATGAAAGTGAACTTGAATTTCGACCACTACGTTCCCGACTTAGTTATGTACTCCTAAGAACGAGGTCTAGCATAGGGATCCCCAATATCCCAGGTTTGGCAAGTATTTACGTAGATTTCAAGCGGAAGACTGGTTTAGTTGAGGTCACAAACAGACTTCAGGAGAGCGGAAGTTGACACTGCACTGTGCCGGTCAATGACGGCCTGGTATACAAGTTGACACTACGAACGTGAACAGTTGAGGTTTGTCGCACACATTTGCTTACCCTTTTGTAAACAGTACTGTAGAAGTAAGAACCCAATTCTTCCTTCTGATATTCGGGATCGTCGAAACCACGCGTCACTCAAAGTTCCGTATCGGAAATCTCAACACCCACCAAGACACCTCAAGATTGCTCTCAGGACTTTCTGAGAATTCCATCCAGCGAATAACTTTGATACATATTTGTATGTATTTGGAGGTCAGGCGTGGCCATAAGTGTTCCAGGATTCTCCATCTTTGAAACACACAAGTATCAGAAAGGACGCTGGCTGGCAAGATTGCGCATGAACCACAGAGGTCATATGCAAGGTACGAATGCAAGCGATGTTATCAGTTGATAAAAACCAACCACGAGAGGAGATACTTCAACTCAACTGATATGAACCAGAAAAGCCAAACCATTAAATCCCGGCCCTAGCCCTTCGGTGCAACCCTTTCCCGCCCACACTTACTGATAAAAAAGACGGAAAATTCACCTTAGCGGACACTCAGCACTGATGAAGTATGCAGTGAGATATCCTAATGGTTGGTTCTGTGTATGCTTTAAAATTCAACCAACCTCGTAACGTAGTCCCTTGGCCAGAGGAGTCTTTTGTGAAAAATGCGAAACGCTGCCCAGCCTTAAACCAATCGAATGTTCTTGAAGCTTTTCTGGAATGCTAATTTCACCAACACTTCATTCGTTGACAAGTAGCCCATCGTATTGTTGCTGAAGTGTGCGCATAACATTCACTCTATGCTGTATGAAGATCTAGTGATTGTAGTCTATACCAGTTTTGACGACGAACTTCAAAACAAGGTCAGCCATTGCATGCATGAGGTGATACACCACTTCGACTTTTTCGGTCAGTAGATAAATTTATTACCAGAAAGCTTCAAAAAGAATCAGTAGGTAATCTGTAAACAAGCCGGATGATACATGAAATGAAGAGTCTATTACGTCAATGCTGCCACGGTCATGATGCCAATACAGTCCACCTCTGTTGAATGTTTAGGGAGGGTATCAGTGAAAGGGTTAACAAAATTTACATACTACAGCTTAACATCACGCAAATAACTGGTTTGTCGTATTGTCCGACCAGCGAACTTTGTTTATTTACATTAAAACGGAAGCATTCCAACCACAAGCTGCAGTTATAGGAATGTGACAAGTACGTAAACAACGGTTCTGATAGAGAAAGACAGTCGAGAGGATTCAAACGCACCACAAAGTAAGGCGTTCTGCTTTTCGGACATACGGGTGAACAAACCAATAAGCCATTCCATATCGTGACCATGAAACGTCAGCCTGGACTTAATGAGCTATTACCAGCAAACTTATACGAGCCCTAGTTAGACCACGCTGCTCCAGTCCAGCTAGGTGAATAGACTCATTCGGCTGTGGAGGTGATCCGTAAATTCAGACAGCAAGGGAGAGTAGAGACGGCTAGACAGCCTGTGGCTATAGCCAAATTCCTATTTCTGTGTCGGTATGGGAAGCGCGACTCATAATTAGCCAGTTAGAATAAAGTACGCTGTGTGACAACCAGTCAGAAATCTGTCCCCTATGTTCCATCACATGTGGCCGAACCGAATCACGTCAGCAGTTTTCGATATCACGGCGCCATTTGCGAAAATGTTTGGTTCTTTGGGAAACCGAAGGGTCTCCACTCGGCTTAGGATGGCCACAGCGGCTAGCGAGACACTCTGAAACGAAACGGGTGGATCCACTTGCCGGCTCCGATTAATTTGACTTTGTATTCGCAGTAAGCAACTATTTTGAACTTTACTGGCATGGCCATATAAGACTTCTCGTGGAATACTGATGGAGTCTATAATGGAGATAGGTTTCTCAGGTATGGTTACCATTGATGCAACTTTCATGTTTACTGGCATCTACGCGACGCCAATTGCACTCAGTGTTTCCACACAAATGCCAGAAACCGCGTTAAATTAAGCAGCACTGAGCACGGTTTATTCTTTCTTTTTTCAGTTCCATCGCATAACAAAACCTATCATAAAAATGATTCGGTAGTATACCCAGCTTACAATTAGACTAATGGGCATTATCAGCTACTTCTTTGTGCCTCAGAGTTCGGGTGGTTGATCAATCTATCTGTGGAATTCCATTTAATGAGACTCTATTATGGAGGCCTTTTCATTTCACAGTTCACAATGAATTGGATTCGACGTGCCGAAGAGAAGAAATCAGCCCCTGGTTGTAGATGGGCTGAAAGGACTCCACCACATACGTATCTAACCCCGAAGAATGCGAAGAAATATTAGTAATTCACAAAATACATTCGAGAAAAGCCTATTTTTTTTACCTAGCTAGCTCCTAGACCATGTGGTTGTTTCTTCACCGAGACCTTGCTTTGGAAGTGAAGCGCAGTACCATGACCATGGACTTTCATCTGAACTGAGTGTGGTTAAACGTAGGGCGATTCTTTCCACCAATCTCGTATAAATGGTTAGACGTTCACCTAATTCAACCACCCCTTCGTTGGCAGTGCGCACTTCTGACAGTCGAGACGACAGTTACACAGTCACACAAGAGAGATTGCATTTCGGTGGGTGCACGGTAGGCCTCACCAAGTGGTTATCGCAGGTCATATGAACGCATTGAAAACAGAAACCTACACTAGAAACACTAGAAGCGACAAGCTCAGACATCGTCTCACTACCAAACAAAAAGTGCTTCCAAAGTGTATAAATACTGACCTCCTCAGTCACCCTGAACACTAGAGAACATCTTCCGAAGCTACAACCACAAGACTGGACGCCAACAGACCTAGCCAACCTGAAAATCACCAGATTCTGGCAAAAGACCGATGAATATCGTTGAAGACTTCTTCAGACCAGAAAAAAATATACAGAGCCGCTAGACTACTGGACGTCGGTAGATAACATGACTTTATCCGGAACAACAACGGAAGCCTGCCTCAGCAGAGCAGATAATCGTCATCATCACACAAGATCCACCCAGGGGGATCGCATCTCATATCGATTGGATATGATATCCAGTATGAAATCCGCATCCAGTGGGTGGATGGGAGCTTTTAGCCGGCCTTCATACCTCACACAAACCAAGTCAATGAACATTTCGCCACTGGACGTGAGCTTGAGATAGCTCAGTGGTTAAGGCGGGAATTTAACCATCGGAAGATCCGTCGTTCGAACCCAACCTTTGCTGTCGACAGCTCGTGCCTATGCCTGGGGGACCTGAAAGTATCCCAATCCCAGTGCTTCCGTCGTGTGACAAGCAGGCACCGAATGGGTGCTAAGGGTGAACAATTTTATGCGATTTTTGACATGACATCAGATGTACTGCTGGATGAGATCCTCCAAGCAACTATATAACCAGGCCCAGGGCTCCAAACAAACCGAAACTCAAAAACGAACAATAAAAAGTGCGAGGAACTAAGTAAACTCATGATTACCATAATCGAAGAAGGGAACCTCTCGCTCCCTCCCTCTAAAGAAGGCGAACTGGAGCTGAAGCCTAAAAATACCTCCTATTCGCACCTCTCGAGCTAGTCCAGACTTTTACCCAATATCGAGAGCGGAACCACCTTCACGGGACTAGCACAAATGCGACGAATCGGCCTGTGATAACTATCATATGCTGGTCGGATCAATGTGACGGCTAAAATATTTGTCCATTTTGCTGAAATTTTCTTCCAAGTAATGGGCAAAATCAGAGAACCAAGAATGGCGGTTTCCATCCTAAGAAAGGTTGTTGCGCTTAGAACATCGGTACAAATGTCAACATGCCAAGCATGCCCATCGATATTCGCGCCGCGTTTAATTGTGTTAATCGCAGATCACTATGGTCCCTTTTTCTAGCTGATGAAATAGCCAAGAGGCTCCTAATCCAAATGACGTATACTACCCACCAGTGAAAGCTTATGTGCGGGTGTCCGGGGGAGAAAACCCCTCTGACTTTGATGGTATGTACATTCGGTTTACGACAATGCTGCTTGTATCACCGCTGCTCCTCAACCTCGCAATCGACTGGCTACATGAGCGGGCGACTTTTGGGTCCTCAAACTTAGATGGAGGACTTGGAATACACCGATGACATCGTCTTGTGCGACAAGCTGGATGAAATGCACTGCACGTCAGACGATCTGGTTCACTACGCGGTACTTGCAAGACTAAAAATCAGCATTTGGTGGATTAAGATTTCTCCCGCTGTCTGGGGGAGCAGATATAACAAATCACTGCATTAAATACCCATAATCATCATCCCACTCAAGGGAGAAGCAAAACCTCAAAATCAGATCAGCAACGCCAGATTTGCTTTCAGGCAGCCAAACCTATAGTAAAGAGCAGTTGAAACTAGTGTGCGAGCAAAAGTTTAAGTGTTCAACGTAGTGGTCCATTCAGCCATAATTTAGGCTTGGAATGAATGCTGGAGAAACAGATTGGGAACTGTCGCTTCAGAGGTATGGATGCTATGAAAGTTGGTGTAAGGCTGGGCTTTTCCGTGAATTGAATTGATTCTTGCTCAGTTGACGTCAGAGATTAAACGCCGTATGTTGGGGTGGTAATTCGCTCTGGTCAGAACAGATTCTATGAAGATCCTGACAGGAGCATGACAAATCATCCGAAATGGGTTACCATGAGCAGGTGATCCTTGTTGAGGGCGTTTTTGAATGAACAGAACTATTGATAGTAGATTCGAACATACCAACACAAGCACATCCACATCAACATCCGTGAGGGCTTTAACTCGTTCCATATCGCCCTTGTGAGTGGAAACTGCAGCCCCGACAAGTAGTTGTTGTCTTCAAAAGAAATTGCGGGCGAAAATAAAAGAGGGGTTGTATGATACGACAAGTAAAAAGTCGACGAATGAATTGGTAGCTAAACGACTAAGAAACAAACCCTATATCGGTATAAAGGCACTATTTAACTTTCCACAAAAACAGGGATACATGGAGAGAATTACTGTTTCAGTTCACAGAAAGTAAGAGTATCTCTTCACATTATAAATGGGGCATCCTCAATTTCCAACTCCGCATTCTTATTTTTTCACCTTTTCATGCTCCAAAACAGGACTTGTGAACAAATGCAACTCGTCTGCTTATCGTGGTCGGTGACCACATTTTCGTTCCCAACATACAACGACTGTGCATCTTTATTCTGAAGATGAGTTTGAAGCTTAATATTGGCTCAGTGGTAGCCACTGAGGAGATCCGGTAATGTATATCACAGCTCAGCTTTCACCAGATACAAGGTTGAACAAACCTCATGGCCGGATGGAAGGAGTAATGAGAAGAATAGATTCGTATTGGACTGTTCTTGTAGTGAACGGTATAAAATCGGGCGAGTTTTGCATCATCAAACCGGATCAGCCGATTGGAGCTTACACAACCAATTGACATTTTCTGAAAGGCTTCTCAAAATCTGATAAAGTTAAACTTAACAAAGAGATACAACAACAGGGTACGAAAACTCCATTGATTTGCCGATTCCCAGGCATATGCTGAACAGCACTCGACTGCAGGTGAGCTCACATCATCATCATCATCATTGTCAGCTGTAATAACCGCGTACTCGTCGTACTGTGGTTGTAGGTGACGCAGTTTCGTTCACCGATGGTTTGGGGAGGGGGGGCAAGTAGCTGCGCGTTGCAAGCGGGAGCTGATAAATTGGTGCATAAATCCAGCACTGTCAGTGGGCTGTCAAATGAGGGGGTTGGAAAAGGAACTATGCATTGAAGGCAATAGCTTTGATGCACGAGTGCCATTGAGGGCGCGACTGGGCCATATCTGATAATGTCTCTAGCCATTGATGTGGCCCGTCTCGGGGTCCCCATCCAGGAAGACGGCGATTACCAGCGCAGCTGAGTTTGCTGGTAATTGCTTTCATACTTCGCTGCCAAGTCATTGAGCGCCTCTGGCTCTCTTCCACCCTTCACGTGGTTGGGCGAAAAGAGCCCTTCGAGGAAGTCGGTCGACTGGCATACGCAGCACGTGGCCAAGCCAGCGCAACCTATTGAGTGTGATCAGTTCATCTATCGAGGGTGAGTTATTTCTCCCGAATACCATTCGACGTACTCCAGAATTGCTGATCCGGTGCTTCCACCAGATTCGGGCAATGCTCCGAAGACACCAAAAGAACACGATTCAACTAATTGCGAATGTATGAAGACCATAATTATGTCTTGTTTTCATTCGGCTCTCTGTCCATATTCAATGGGTTTTAATGTGTAAATATTGTGATGACCGGGGTACAAAATGTAGAGCAATAGCGTACGGCTTAAAGCATTGTGCAAAGAACCATAATTGCTCAGAGGCACAGTGAATACAGCAACTTCAGATTGCGCCACCTATGTAAAAATCATGCGCAGCTCTTTGTCCATTTCAGAGGAAGGACACGCCCATGATGTCTACATCAGATAAATAGTCACCGTTGCATGTCTGTGATTGCATGCATTGTATGCTCGAATAGATATGCACCGAACGAACAGACCACGCCCAAGTAAAAGCACTGTTAAAACATTTTCTCTTACCTAACAGTACGTCCTCTTCACGCCCATCTGTAGACCAAGTGCTGGGCAGTGGGGGACACAAGTAACTCTCTGAAGAGGACTCGGTCTTCTTGACCACAGTCAAGTTAGAGAGGTCTACCGGTGTTACTATTATCCAAGGGTTATAAGGAACTGTAAAGATTAGAGTTGCGATTAATCAACTACGATAGGTATTTTGTATGGACAACCAGCTGATCGGTAGACTACAAGATAACGGCTGTGCATCAGGTGGAACGTATCATTCGACCGAGGTAAACTGACTGCTCGTACAGGACATTTCTGGTAGCATAAGACTGGATTCCGAAGGCTTGTTGCAACGGTTTCCACCGTGGCCAGGCAGTGCTTTTAGACCGACTCCAGCAATTTGTGAGGTACATGAATAGGTACATGGATAACGTTGACAACTGTCCGTGTTGACCAAGTGTGAGAAGACGGAACTTTTTATGGATCCCTAACTCCGCTGGCAATCAAAAGAAGGAATAAGCTCCAATGGTCTTTTCTTAAGTTGCCTGGTCGTTCGCCTATCCCATTGCACCGTATCTTTGAATTTCAAGTGGGGGGCTTCAATGAAGGTAACCTGGATCGAAATGTTTCTGCTACAAACGTAAGCCACTCAGATCAATAACACCAATGATTGATCAAATCTGCCAATAAGCGACCTTTAAAGAAGTGATAATGAAATAAGCCTGTTTTTTACCATCATGATGACAGAGTGCACTATTGTAGCACATCTTCATTGATAGAGAGTTCGGGATATGAGTTAATTCGAAACATACTTTCCAGGAATGAAATAAGCCTGTTTTTTACCATCATGCTGTCAGAGTGCACTATTGTAGCACATCTTCCTTGATAGAAAGTTCGGGATATCAGTTAATTCGAAACATACTTTCCAGAGTTTCGGCAGAGCGAATTCGACCTATTCCATTCGTGAGACTATGGATAAGATTTCGCTTTCATCTTAAGGGTAGGCCGAAGTTTATTTAAGGGTCAGTCCAGACGAGTTTTCTACAAACCATCCTACAGTAAAGCAAGGTTTGTGGTCCTTTGAATGTTGCACTCCACGACGACGTCGATCACAAAAGGAGAAAACGAACAAAAATGCTGAAGCCCACTAGTTGCATCCTACAGTAAAGCAAGGTTTGTGGTCCCTTGAATGTTGCACTCCATGACCACGTCGATCACAAAAGGAGAAAACGGACAAAAATACTGAAGCCCACTAGTTATCACGATGCTTCTAGGCAGTTCACTGTGCACCTTAAGCCGACACAAAGGACGTTCACAAACTTCAAGGATCTCTCTCCCTCTTGCCAATAATATTTGGGACAGTCGATCAATCTACAGAGTGCAAGGACCGTTGAAAAAATGAGTTGAAAAAAGCCGCGATTGTTGGTCGCTGGTATACGTAGCACTGTTCAAGCATTTAACGTAATGTAAAGATATGGTCAAAGTACCCTCCGTCAGGTCGAAATCCAGTCTAAGAGCTCATCTGGTCGGGCAGCCCGATGACTCTTCAAGGATTATTAGCACTTAATCGACTGAGGGGATATATATTTACAGAGTATGGTTTAAAACGAGCGGGTCGAATGATTGACGTGTGCACAGGGGTACAGGGTCAGCTAAACTGTTGTTAAAAATATCCCAAGCAGAAATCCAAACAGTGGTCTTTATCATATATCAGGCTTCCAATATTATCCTCTAGGTCCTGGAACAGCTTCCATGAATGCCCAGCTACGCTGTCTTCTTCCATTTCTTGAACATCTTGATGCCACCACGCCTCTTCATCCATACAGAGGCTATGCTTATTTTAAACGTTAAATAACTTCATTTCGTGCATTGAAAGGAGTCTGACAGCTAAACAGCTTGAGAACTAGTGTGACAGATGTTAGGAAAATTGACCAGTAGATCGCGAAGGACCGAGAGGTTGCATTTTATCGTCAACATAATTACTGGTATGGATAAGTGGACAACTAGTCAAGTTACAGAGCTTGAATCAAGGAGAGCATTGAATGATAAAGGTTCACCTACTGTATTGGTTCCATAACAATTGACTACGCAGGGCAACATCTTTTCACTTACGCGGTATCTTTCGAAGCATGTGGATAGGCTGACGCCTTCTTCAAATCCGTCCGACATATCAATGCCACTAACTCGCGCCGCTCATTAATTATCGGTAGCTTCCCTGTAGTGACAGAAAGATATGTATGTGCAGAAGCAGAAGAGAGCAAAATCTACCATAACGGCCTTCTCTGTGTCCAGATGCTTGCGTATAAATTTGATGAGACTCGTCATACAATAGGCCCTCTTTATAGAAGACAGTTCGCAAGCACTAAAACAGGTTCCCAATTCAAGTTTACCCGAAATCGAGATCGAGTAAGACTGTCTTGTTTTCCGGTATGTTTTCAAAATAAAACGGCAAAAATCTTGAAAAATTGTTCAGACTTAGCTGCAGATTAGACAACCACCCATACATGTTCTTCGCTGAGCACGCCCATGTTTATTCAACCCTTGTTGCTCAATTTTCCGTTTGGAAGAGGATAATATAACTGGGAACTGTCTAATGTCACATGCAGAAGCAACCTCCTGGTAGCTTTGACAGGTTGCATAACCTTGCTCGGCGGAAGGAAGAGGTCCGTAGAAAAAAACAGTAAGATCACCCTACTGTAGTGGCACAAGTTGAACGGACAAACAGGATGAGTAGAATATCTCACGCTAGCGAATGGAGATCAAGATCACATACGAAACTGCTGTTTCGTTTTACTCGGCTTTACTCCAAGGAGACAGTGTTTCTAGCAGCACAATTAGATGTTTTTTGTGATTGCAGTCATATCGTCGAATATGAATGAACGACAAGTTATTTTCGGCGAGTTGTTTGTGTGTCAAAATGTTTCTTAGACGAACTACACATTCAGGGACAGCTTCACCCAGTTGAGATGGACTTACGATTCCAAAATTATCGTTCTAAGAAAACTGTTTTTACGCTTGTTAGTCAGAATGGCATTTGGGACCGATCGGAGGGACGTCGTATGAAACTTGACATAGAATTCAATCACCAATGTTCGGCTTTGCTTGCTGTTGACGCCACTATTCCCGAAAATTCACCTGGTTTCCGGTGCACTCGTGTTTGTCAGGAAAACGATATACTTATTTCAATAAACTGGCTTAGCCAGGAAAAGTGCTCGTGAGCATGTATCGTGAAGTAATTCGATCAAGTGCAAATGCGCATGGCAAGGCAATATGGGAAATATTGGATTGGCCTTGAAGTTGCGATACAGACCACCAGGCATGCATCCACTTCCGAGTAATACAGAGGTTGCGCCGTCCACTAGATTGACCTTTCAGCAATCCGGCTGTACATTTACGGTGTGCAACCACTTCGTATAATTTACAACCAGGTCCCGTGAAAAATCCGTTTATATTAATATTAATATTATTAGTGGTAGTAGTGGTAGTAGCAATGGCAGTAGTCATGCAATGCCAGTGTGCACATACTTCCCCTTCGCCAGTTTCACACAACAACTCATCCCTCATGGTGCATATACTACGCTTAGCTTGAATTGACAGTTGGATATTGACACAGAGTTAGAGAACCTCGACAAACACAGGCATTGGCCAAAAAGGAGAAAATGGAACTTTCTCAATCATCGCCTGTGGTTGTTTGACAGCACAATAGGTCATACGTTTTTGTTGCTTACCTCGCTTGCTTTTCTGTAATATGTTGTTCGCCTCTGGAAGCGTCACTCCTGCGTTTGCCGTCGTCAGTTCGTCGAAGGGCGTCATAAACTGAAGCAACACAAAAAGAACAATAAAACAGTTGATATCAGAAGCCGCCAGCAGCAAAATTCAACCGATTAGTCATAGGAGAGTATCCCTTACTTAGTGCACTACTCCCACAACCGAAAAAGCAGTTATCCATTTTGAAGACGTCACAAAGTTGGAAATTTGTTCGCCTGAGATTTAATAGGGGATTCCCGCAGAAGAAACCAGATATTCCACCACTCACGGGGGCTTGTCCTTCTACTCTAGTCACTATAGCAGAGGCAGGGGCAAGCCATCTCTTTCAAACAGTTCATCACTCAGTCGTGGGTTGGAAATGTTTCTGCTCTAAATACTTTGTTGACATATTTGGTCAAGATAAAATGATGAAAACGATAAATTAGTTCATCTTTCTTGTCACGTCTTTAGAAATAGAAACGAGTATGAAAGAGAACAGTACAAATTCTAATGTGTGAATGCTCACCAAACGTAACTTTACTCGGATTTAGGTAAAGGGAAAGTAGTTGAATTACAGTGTGACAGGGTTCAACAGGCATGAAGATGAGGCTTCTGGGCGCTCATTAGCAAATATGTGAGCGAGCTATGTGATAGGTTAGGAATATCTTGCTCGATCCGAGAATGAGGCTTCTGGGCGCTCATTAGCAAATATGTGAGCGAGCTACTGTGATAGCTAGGAATATCTTGCTGCGATCCGAGACCATTCAGGTTGAGAATCAAATGGGAAATTTGGTGGCACAGACTCCCTCCTGCAAAACAACTGCACCCAGCCTGAAAACCTGGATCGAAAGCGAGAAAGTCTCTGGTTCGTGAATGGTTGGTTTATTCTTTACGAGGAAACATCACATTAAAAATCCACTACATCATTGACCAGCCTTCTCATTCAACGACAGACGATACATCCCTCCGCACATAAGTGGGACTGGAGTGAGTCTAGCCTAGATTGTTCATTTAGCCCAGGATGTTTACGCGGTAACATTGGTCGGAACATAACATAGTTGCAACGCACATCAATAGTAATGAATGTGGGGCAAAAAATGAACCCAAAGTAGTTCAGCACAAAAAGTGTCAGACATGCTGCTGACCATCTAGCCTCCTAATTGGAAAAATACCTATCACACACATCAAGTAGATGCTTCAATACATCCCAAAAGTGCCTACTCGACCTGATATCGTTTATTCAGGGAACGTTCATCAAAACTATCAGTATGTTTGTGTTCCACCTTGTATCGTACGTAGTATGACCTAGAAGCCCTCGATTAGAGGCTTGACGCTTCTGCCTCCCACCTCGTGCTCACAGAAGCCGACATCCTTGTGGTGACCACTGTTGCTTGTCCAGACTGCTCGAACCCACTCCACACACCCACACACCTGGGATTTATCTACATGCATTGTCATCCCGATTTCCCCACAGAAAGTAGCACTTTCCGCCGTTAACGTGATTGCATGCATATCTTGATTATATGGCCAAGCGACATTGGCGACTAAAAGCTTTCATGCATATAATGCCAACGTAGCGGATCCAGACACCTGTGGAAATGCTTTATTCTCCAGTCAGCTTATTAAGGACGATGTTCCATTGCCATTGTTACATTACCAAAATTGTAATAACCTTGTAACGTGTTCTAATGTCCGCTAACAAGGAAAAAAGAAGAGCATACATCACAAACCTGTGTTACTGGTGTATCCATTAAAGAAGGATCGACAAAATCCACGTCACGCAGAGTTACGAGGCCCAACAAGCGACCACCGACAGAACCGGTATCAGTAACCGGGAAGCCACTAAATCCATGCTTAGTTTTGTTCTGTATCAGTTCGTTCACAGTGCAATCAGGGGAAATCACGACCGGAGATAAAATGAATCCCTGTCGGTATCTCTGCAAAGGATAAGATACATTATCCGCAATCAACCAAATGAGGATGCCAGATGTTGTTGGCATATTGATTCAGAAAGCAAAAGGTGTCCATAGGTTGGACAAGATAACTGGTACTACGGGTATGGTAATTACTCATCATATAGACTGATCAGCAGAGAATCTAGTGCTCTTTGGAGTACATGATCAAATTTTTGTACGGGCACAAAGAGAACTTATAAAATGAAGTTTTAACTTAGGTCTGTTCTTGAGGCATCTTGAACATCAAAGGGCAAACGGAATACCCGGTGACGGATCCTCGGGATCAATCCATCCAACTCGTAAGCAGCCTTGCTGCACAAGTACTAATAATTTCGGGCCACACAGGCTATTGTGGTGCACCATTGGAATCTATTTGCTTGTTGCATACAGCAGCGAAAATAGGCCGCTTCGGATACCTGCCATCTTTCTTTAATGGTATATAGTAGCTGCCTTTCTCTTGCATTTATAGCCTACATTTCCAGCTGCATACTTTCAACCAAGGAAATGACCAAGAGCGTGCCACCATTTTGGTCTATCTCTCAGAGTTGTTCTTATTTTCTGTTACAACATTTATTATGTGGACCCTCAAGCAGGTCAGCCAACAACAGGAAGGGCTGTGACCAAGTAGGGAATACACTCACCATATCTTCACATTACATGGTGTTCGAGTAGCATCGTGCATACCAACAACCAATAGTAGTGGTTTCTACTAACCTTAGAGTGGCCTTCGATTCTACGGATGGATTAGCTTTTCTGAGCATTCCAACTGGTGAATGCCATTGAATTTTGTTAATCTTTGTCCCTAATTCCCACACTTCTGATCGCATTAGGGTAGTCAATCAGGTACCAAGATGTTTACTAGGTTTACTAGGGTTTACTAGGGTTGTCCTGTCCTCCTGAGTTCACCTACCACTGATATAATCATGGAGTAGACTCTGAAAGAGACCACGAGGGGTTAGTGGACTCAGATCACGCGGAATTAGGGACCTGATAGACCTTGATAGACCCACTTGTTTTGGTAACTTCGTGAGCCGTGGCATGTGAAGTTGAAGCATGCACTATTGGTGTGCAGTGGATGCTACAGTCGTGAATGACATCCAGCACTATCACATGCAATGGCTTGGCCATGTGTCATGCGTACCGAAACGTCTTCTACCCTGACCAGCGTTGTTCTTTATGTGCCTCTCAGAGTGGGCAACGTGCAACTTGGCAGAAGAATGCGAAATAGGATACAAAGAGTCTAGAAGCTGTTGGTGCACGCGCCTTCCGGGATGAACTTGTCGTGACAACCCAGCTACCTCTGCGCTTGGTAGGAGACACTGCAAGAAACACGCCAATCGACGTCAGTGGAGTTCGTACTGTCAGTTTCTTTTCAGATAGTCTGACTGAGCACTTGAAGATGTAGGCACCTGAAAATGCTTGTGGTACGTTAGTATCGGGTTCGTCCCTCATTCACTCATTTTTCTTATTTTTAGAGCTGTAAACAGTTAAATAAATGTTATGGTTGTGCAGCAGTAGAGCACCGGTGTCAACGATGATATTGCTGTCTCTGGCCAAGCATTCCGTGTTCACCTGACCACCGGTCAAGGCTTGATGTGTCTTATGCATTTTGCACACTAGGCAAGTAGGCCAGTTGACGATGCCACTCGAATTCAGCATCAGGGAAAAATTTCCCATCGAACATACCACTCTGCTGAGTGCTCGACACACCATGGTTAGGAGATATTCCCACGTATACAAAACTTAGGCATTATTGTGCTTCACCCTATGGCTATTGCACAAAAATACATAGTGAATTTATTGATCTTAATAAATTAATGTGAACTGACCTTTACTTTGCGGACCTCCTTGGCCTGGAAACTTATTGGACAGTTGCTGTGAACGATTCCAATTCCACCACGTAACTGTAGTGTGTTTAAACTTTATCTGGAAAGTAACTTACAGCCATGGCAATGGCCATTTTCGATTCCGTAACTGTATCCATCGGAGAGGACACAAAAGGTACCCTCAGTGTGATCTCTTTGGTTAGACGACTAGCCAAGTCGATGTCCTCAGAGTTCATGTTGACAAAGCCAGGCAGTAAAATGATGTCACTTAGCGGACCTGGTCGCTACGTGAAACAACAAGAACCTACTTATAAGTCCGTCCAACAGAATCCGAGAACAGTTCAGCCGCAGAACACCCATCGACCTCATTAATGTCTCCACAAGGAGTAGGCAACGGAACGCAATTCATTATCTGAGAAATAAATAGAGAAAGCAATGAACACTCATCAGATTTTTAGACCTCAGGAACGGCTTTCCAAATTCGAAACAAATTGGCTTGAAAAGCAGTTCCGGGGGAAGGTCATAAAATATTATTTACGTCCAACAGATCTGTATTGAACAGCCACACGAACGATAGTAATTTCCTAATATTTGAGTATGAACTGAAATTCAATTGGCAGCAGCTCCAACAAGGGATATAGCCATCAGCCCAGAAGATCGGGTTTGAACACAACCCTAGAGCTTCGACTGATATATCTAGGCCTGAATAACTTGGAAATTTCCCGAGTCCTAAGCTTTCTTCTGGCTGCATAGCAGCTGTGCATTGGAAGATTGCTGCAGTTGAAGTGTTCTCTTCCATGAAATAAACACTTTATGTGAAGTCTAAAGATAGGGGGACCAGGGATTCCTGAATGTTATCACTGGGCCCATCCTCAAGTATCCACTTCACTGTGTACTAAACGGACACCAAAGATAGGCAAAACAAACTTTGCTAGATTTCTCCAACTGACTATAAACTGGATTTGCATAGTACACTATTTACACAGTGTCTTTTGGCAGTTTAAGGCTTGATCGACTTATGGTCATACATGTTCCATTTTCTCTCACTTCATTTCTCAGGAAGTGTGAATTATCGTGTTCATTGTTAATAACCGTATAATATCAATCTAAGGTTGCACGATGCTTTTAAACAATCGTTTGCGCGTCATATACAGCGAAAGGGCGAAACTAATTTTCAACTACGTTGCGTTTATTGAATTCGCCTTCCTTTTAATTCGGTGACCCAACAAAGTGGTGTTAGCTCAGGTGCAATTAGTCATCTGGTTGGCAGAAAATATGCCATATTAATACGACTGCCTAAGCGAGTATTGTTGTGGCTGCAGTCACGGTAGTATGTGCTGATGCGCAAGGCTTTTATGTCGGAAGGAAGCCCACTTAGGGACATTCATTACTGGAATGACTGTGTGATGGAAGCGCATGTTGGGAAATCCCCGAGATAAGAAAGAACAAGGACAGCGTAACAAGAGCCGGTTGCAGTGTGATATGGATAAGTTTTGATGGGAGTACCAAGATAACACAGTGAAAACCATACAGTGGAAAACACAAAGCATTCAGATGCAGCACCCTTCCGGTGCCTGGCTGCCATAAGGAAGCACGAGGACTGGGATACTGCCAGGTTGCCCAAGCCTAGACAGGGGAAGTCGAGTGGCGGAGGTCGGATTCGAACCACGGACCTTCCGGTCAGTAAATTCGCGCTCTAAACACTTGGGTCATCTCGTCCCTGGGAAATACAAGTTGAGTTTCACGAATTTACTAAACTTCGGTAGGACTTACTAACTCACTTACTCATCATGTCGACGCTAATTTCGACATAATCGTCAGTATATTCGGAAGCATGGCTAAGGATGTTTTTGGTGACTGGCAGGCGATAGTGCGATATAAGAATAATCACTGCCATCACATCGTTAAAAAGTATCTAGTAGAAGTGTTTTAAACCAAAGCCAATGTCACAAACCCATCACATTCATAACTGTCATGTAGCGAGCTTCATTTTTTGAGGGCCACCCGAAGAACACGTCGACAAAAACCAAATGAAACAAAACAAGCCATCCATCTGTGGTACCTTGATGAACAGGTGCCAAATAGCTGTGAAGGAGTATGCAGGCTGGATCGCGCGAGTCCGGACACTTTTAATTAAAACATGTCGAATCGCAATTCCTCAGGTCTACGAATTGCCCTTCCAGCAACAACCGACCAATACCTCAATATAGGGCACCTTCTGCTGGTCCCGTAGACGGGATTAATGGCAATAACTTTAAGACCACGAGCTTCAATATCCATTTGTAGTGCAGAACACTGAGAACACTAGTCACTGAAAGATTCGTGGAAGTTTTTTTGTGTTTTCTAACTGGTGCAAAGGGTGTCGTTCCCAGTTGGCTGGGAAAATCTTGAAGCTGATCGAGAACTCATCACTTCAGAAAACCGTTGTAATTAATCGGTGAGTACTTTCGGTAACACATTGTCATGATAGCAAAGCTCTTGTGCCCAAAGCGGAACGCTGCCTGATAAAATTTTCTGAGAACACTGTTGCCTCAATGTCTGGTTCATTAAAAGACTATGACGAAAGCAGACTGCTGAGAAGTGGAATCCACCAGCATGGTCTTTTGGTTACTGCAAACATCTTCACCGACGCCGCCTGCTACTATTGTCTCAAAGCAACAGTGAATAGCTGACAAATATCTTTGAAGAGTTTTGCCACGGGTAGGACAAGAAATCTTCATGCATCATTTTTTAAGCGCGCATCGTTTTATTTTCTTTGATGCTCACACCTCAGGTATTTAATCTCAACTTTAGATGATGCAGAGTAGGGGAACGAGAATACAATCGCTCCTTGGGACAAATTTATTAGACTTGGTGTATTTGCTGGTGAATTTGGTCGATTGGTAGAGCGGGTGAGCGCAAGCATCCTTCCTCATGACAGGCAAATGCTGCACAATGGTGATTAAAACGCATCGATTCAGCCACATTAAGTGCCGACATTTTACCTCCATCAGGTGGCAGACTATTATACGGTTATCTGCTGGTTTGCCGAGCATAGCGTCTTACCATAGCATCAGTAAAATAGTCTGGTTTCAGTTACCCAGCAGTCCCGTGTCGTGCGGCGAGTGCGATGATAGGACAGCTGGCTGGTCCGCTGGCTGCGAGGAAAGCCACCCAGTTCTCTGACGCGGTAATAAAAACCGCCACGACGTCTCTAGTGGACAGGCGCCTAAGGGAGAGCAGAATGATAATCTAGGGATCATTCTCATGAAACATCACGCCAACGAAGCTGGCAGAGTCGCTCCTTGGTAGCATCCTCACTAAACCTGATCATCAAACGCTTAACGCAGAATGGTTACGCCAGGAGGGAAGCAAGCGAACACTTGGGCTTCTAATCACCCTTTCCTCTTCATGTGTCGTAAATGAGATCTTGGAGCGGGCTGTCAGCATTTATAAGGCCTATCCAACGATCGGGCGTCTATCTGAGGCGCGAAAGCTGGGTCATAGCAGCTCTAGGGTAGGGGCGCGAAATAGGCTCCCGCTTGGCGCCAGTTCAGCCGACCCCAAACTCATGGCCAAACCGATTGTAGCCATAGCCCATTGTGCTCCAGAAAACATAGCGACGCAACCGGACAGCAGTTTCTATTCAACCATCACAGACCCCTAATCTACCGAAGACAGTAATGCTCTGGAGGCAAGCCTCACGTGGAAGCAGCGCCCAAAGCACGTGGAGCTATCAGAGCTTCAATTCGTAACAGAACTATCCAACGATCGGGCGTCTATCTGAGGCGCGAAAGCTGGGTCATAGCAGCTCTAGGGTAGGGGCGCGAAATAGGCTCCCGCTTGGCGCCAGTTCAGCCGACCCCAAACTCATGGCCAAACCGATTGTAGCCATAGCCCATTGTGCTCCAGAAAACATAGCGACGCAACCGGACAGCAGTTTCTATTCAACCATCACAGACCCCTAATCTACCGAAGACAGTACTGGGGGAGGCAAGCCTCACCTGGAAGCGGCGCCCAAAGCACGTAAAGCTACCAACGATTATTTCCGTAACATACAGGTGCGGCAGTGAACCCCTCACCAAAGTGACAGCTTCTCAGCTGGACTGAGTCAGAGGTGCGGGGACAAGCAGCGAAGCCCACCGACAAATCAACCACATGCGTTGACCTAAACATTTGGGAATGCTGCGACAACCGTACGACCACGGAGAATGTGAGACTGCCAATCACTAGCTCCACGCCGTCAAAAGTGGCCACTTTGCTCGTGGACACAGTAGTCGTCCAGGACCCCGACAGCCAAAGCCACAAACGTGACTACAGCGAACCGGAAAATCCCTCGGCTGGCCTGCTAGGGGATAGGGTATCCACACAAACACGAAAGAAAGGCGACTGCAGCCAAACAAGCCATATAAGATTCGCCAAATCAGAAAACTGCTGGCTAGCCTCAGGGTGAAGTCCTCTGTGAAAACGAGCCTCATGGGAGCACCACCAAAAAAATTACTTCTTGGTGCCGTCACCCAGCGCTCAGGGCCTCACAAACACCTTCCCGATCAAACCACGCCAAAACGCCCAAGAAACCAGAAAGACGAAAGCTACTCCCAAATCTCTGATTAACAGAAAATGTGATCGTCCGAAAGGTGGTGTTGAAAGAGCTACGGGTAGCAATGGTCGAAATTTTCACCCACTGGGAAAACCTCCTTCCCGCAAAGATAAAGGGCCCTAGCAAACCAGGTTCCAGCGGGGCGAAAAAGCCTGCAAATGAAAAGCATCTCCAGAAACCACCAAGACAGGAAGCAGACGAGTATGCTTCAGAGGTCCCTCTGGAGCCTTGGACTCAAATCCGACGTACAACTATTAAGTATGCTAACCTCCCCGGTCACACAAATCTCGCCTCCTCACCCTCGTGGGCAGCAAAGACAGTGTTGAAATGCTTGTCCACAAACTGCCACAACCTTTTCAACAAAGTTTGCGATATTAAACAGTCGGCTTGCCTTGAACAGCCGTCCATCATCACACTCAAAGAGACCTGGCTCACACCAGATTGCTCCGGCGCGGAGATCTCGATAGAGGGTAACTCTGCTTTTCGAGCTCACTCAAAACGAGGGAGGGCTGGTGGGGCTTTTTTGTACTTACATGTGGCCCTACCAATCCCGATTGTCCTCTCTGATACCACTGCTGCACCCTTTTGCGCTGTGGATCCAAATCCTGCTGTGCGGGTCCGATTCTCTCCTTCTCGGTGTGGTCTACCGTAGTCCCTTGAGTCCCCCTGAGGATGACTTATTCCTCATACGAACTCTTGAGTAACTCTCCCCCAGGTAAAACTTCACTCATCTCCTGCTGATAGGTGACTTCAACGCTCCAAAGGTCTCCTGAATGGAGCTCCAGCGCGTCGGGTCAAGTGGACTTTTTGTAGCGGCGCTGATCGATGTT